GCCACCACCTTGAGACTGGAGACTGTCACAAAGATACGAGAACTAAGAATTTTAACTGCAAAAGAAAAATGTGGATGTTAAAAAGGACTATCGGGGCATTCTAAACCTGAAGTTCAGGCTGAATAAAAGGGTGCAATACAGTCCTGTGAAGTAGTAACCAGCCTTGTGTTTTTGCTGCTTGGTAGCAGAGAAGCATAGGACTTTCAAAAGCATACAGACTGATTTAGAAACCCAAATACCATTACTTTTCAGAAACTTTAGCGTGGAATGAACATGTAGGTAACTATATGATCCTGGAATGTACCATCTCAGCCTTCAGGAAATGCCACAAGAAAACTGTGCATCTGGTACAGCAAGACACATAGCAAATACAAAAAAAAAAATCCCGATACGATGAGAATATCTTTTCATTTTATGTGTTCAAAGTCATTGGAAATAGCCAACGTATATTTTATCAGCACTTCTACATTCAAACTCGTGAATGTGAGCTGAGAAACAAATGACAATCAGAACATCTGCTACCATCCTTGTCTCCTGTTTAGTAAAGGCTTATTTCACTGGAACAGAAATCTGTCCCCCTAGAATATTCCGAGTGTTAGTTTGCATCCAACATACCTCCACAGCTGTTTCTTCTGCTAGCAAGTCATTGCGCGAGCCTGATTTTGGAAAATCCCACAGCTTTCTGGTGAATCCATTCAGACGGAGCTCATGAGTGAAGCTTTTCATGCTCTCACTTTCAAAAATTCTCAGATGTCCTCTCCTTGCTAGTACTTCCTCTTCAAACAATTCTTCATGAATCACTACACACTTCCCGTTGTCCCCCCCAGCAAAGGGACTCAAACCGATCGCTTTCAACAACGTCCCAGAGCTTCTTCAGAAAGCTGAGGCGTGTAGAGGCATCGCCTTTGCTAGAGCTCTCCTCAGATGAATTCAGACGCCCTCTTTCTGACCGGGGTCGCTTAGTCAAAGTTTGTAAAGACTTTTCTTCTACTGGAGGTCCAAAGGCAGGGTCACCAGCTGCTCTCTTGTCGCATGCTGGAGGGAGAGAAGTCGAGCCTGACGAATTAACTCCCCTGGCCAGAACAGAATTGCATGATGTTCCCCGATGAGGAAAGCTCCATTTTAAATTCTTTTCTCTCAGTTTGAGTAAATTTTTCAGTTGAAGCCATCTACCTTAGCAGCTAGACTGTCCTGCCAGACAGGCAGCTGAAAGGAAGTGACCAACTGACTGAGAATCCCAAGGGAGAATTCTCAAACATCAGATGACACCCATGCTGCGCTGCCATGACATCACAGAGCAGCGTCCATTTCCTAGTGATGTGAAGTGGCAGCAGTAAGTGCTAAATAGCACTTGCTTTTCATTTACAGATTTTATGTCTCAGGAGCCAAAAAGTAAATAAAACTGCAATGAAATTTTAGATGTAGTAATTGGACAGTGCTGTGCTGGGTTGCAGCCAGTAGCTGGTCCACAGGGAGGAAGAGGGAGGTCTGCAGCATTAGGAGTGAAAGCACCACATCTCTGAAGTTTTTCAGGTGTGCACCTTTCACACATACAGAAATATCTGTACACTC